GCCTAACCAACTGAGCCACCCAGGCGCCCCTGAAAAATATTTCTTATAATTTCAAAAAATAGTACTGTTATTTGTCATTTTAGGGGATGGTGATGTTCAAAGATGTGGCTATAGATGTCTCTCAGGAGGAATGGGAATGCCTGAACCCTACACAGAGGAATTTGTACAAAGATGTGATGTTGGAGAACTATAGCAACTTGGTTTCACTGGGTAAAGTTACCTGCCTCTTATAATTTAGAATCTGTTTCTTGGAATTTCTGCTTTCTTTACCATGAATTTTAGAGCTACCTTTCAAATAACTAGATGAATTTTTTTCTTTGCATAAAAATGTGCACACTTAGATGGGGGTGCGTCTTCATTTTCCCCATCCTTAACCCTTCCTCTGGTCCTTATAATCAATGTTCTTCCTTGATGATTAAAGAACAGAATTGGAATTCTGTACCATTAAAGCTTATGCTTAATTATTTAATTATTTAATGTTAATAAATTAATTGTTAATTAGTTAATGGTCAAAGAAACCACTTCATCTTTTGTTTCATTTGCACTGTGCTAAACCTGCAGGTGCACTAGAGTAGGTTAAAACTAAACACATGGGGCCTGGGTGTGAAGTTCTTTAGCTTTCCCAGTTAATGTAGTGATGGACTGGATCAAGAAATATCACTTACTATTTAGTGCTCAAATGAACACTATTGCATTTCCTACAACAAATGTGCTCTCTTTTAAACAATTTGCACTTGGGAGTTACATTCTAAGAACTTTTCATTTAACATTGAAAAATATCTGAAATAAGCATACTCAAGAAGCTGTTTTTTCCACATAGCGAAGTAGAGATAGAAAGCTTATCTAATTTAAGTAGCATTTTATCACCTATTTATTTGCTTTGTTTTTTTATCTTGAGTTTACCTGAATATGAGTGTTTAATTTATTCTTTTTTTCAACTGTAGACTTTATCAAATACCATTTTGTGCTGTAGTTTATTTTTTTTTATCAATTCTGAACCATAGTATTTGGGTACTTTGATTTCCACTTCATCTCCATTTCTTTTCTTATAACCAGGACTTTCTATATCTAAGCCGGCTGTGATCTCTTCATTAGAGCAAGGGAAGGAGCCCTGGATGGTTGTGAGGGAAGTGACAGGAGGACGGTGCCCAGGTAAGTGAGCAATGATTAGGAGGCAGGAAGCTATTTCAAGGAGTAGGCCCACTGGTCAGAATGTTGGGCTAGTAAGGTTATTTTAGACTAATTAGGGAAAACCTGATTTCAAAACTAATTATAACACTATGTAATCAGACTGTGGTACTGGCATAAAGACAGACATATAGATCAGTGGAATAGAATAGGGGCGCCTGAGTGACTTAGTAGCCTAAGTGTCTGACTCTTGATTTCAGCTCAGGTCATGATCTCAGGGTTGTGAGATCGAGCCCCACATTGGGCTCTGTGCTCAGCATGGCATCTGCTTGAGATTCTCTCTCTCTCCCCCTTCCCCCACTTGCACACGCTCTCTAAATAATAAAATCTTTCAAAAATGGAATAGAATAAAAAGGCTGGAAATAAACCCTCACATATATGACCAAATGATTTTAGATAAAGGTGCCAAGACCATTCAATGGGGGAAAGGACTATCTTTAATGAATGGAGTAGGGAAAACTGGATATCCATATGCAAAAGAATAAAGTTGGATCCTTACCTTATGCCATATACAAAAATTAACTCAAAATGGATCAAAGAACTAAATCTAAGACTCCAAACTAGAAGAAAATATAGGGAAAAAGTTTCATGATATTGGATTTGGCAGTGATTTCTGGGATATGACACCAAGCAAGGTATAGGTAAACAAAGCAAAATAGACAAATGGGAGTACAGCAAACTTAAAAATGTTTATTCATCAAAAGACAGTCAACAGTGTTTATTAATTTTTAAAAAAATTCCTACGAGTTGCTTTACGAGGTAACAGGAATACCTTTTTTTAAGTGTTAGAGTAGTGGATCAAGAACATATGTTCTAATGGTATAGTAGGAAAAATTAAGGTTGATTAGAAATTGGGAAAGTTAAAGAAAATTACATTGAGGAAGTAGAGATAGCAGAGGGTTGGGCGCCTAGGTGGCTCAGTCAGTTACATGTCTGCCTTTGGCACAGGTCATGATCCCAGGGTGCTGGGATCGAGTCCGTCATCGGGCTCCCTGCTCAGCGGGGAGTCTGCTTATCCCTCTCCCTTTGCCCTTCACTTGTGCTCTCTCTTTCTGAAGTAAATAAATAAAATACTAAAAAAAAAAAGAGAGAGATAGTAGAGGGTTGATTGGGAAGGAAGGAGGTCATCTAGGAAAGTATAGGGTCCTGGAGGCCAAGAGCAGGGCCATACTACAGATGAGTGGTCTTTGATGATATCTGTGAATCAGTATTAGTGCTGCAGAACTGTGAGAGAGTATATTTCTGTTGTTTTAAGCAACCCAGTTTGTGGTTCTTTGTTACAGCAGTCCTAAGAAACTAATATGGAAGGAATCATGGAAAAATGATATATACTCTAAGTGTTTTGTTTTCATTTAAAGATGTCATTCTTCTATCAGTTTTTGATGCCTGACCATGCCTTTCTTTTCGCAAAGGTGTAGTGGTTTCTTTTTTAAAACTTTTAATTTTGAGGAGCGCCTGGGTGGCTCAGTCGGTTAAGCATCTGCCTTCAGCTCAGGTCATGATCCCAGGGTCCTGAGATCGAGCCCTGCATTGAGCTCTCTGCTCAGCGGGGAGTCTGCTTCTCCCTCTCACTCTCCCTCTGTGCTCTCTCTCTCTTTCTCTCAAATAAATAAGTAAAATCTTAAAAAAAAAACAACAACTTTGAATTTTGAAATAATTTTAGATTCACAGGAGCTTACGAAGAAATGTACAAGGAGGGCGCCTGGGTAGCTCAGTCGTTAAGCGTCTGCCTTCCGCTCAGGTCCTGATCTCAGTCCTGGGATCAAGCCCCGCATCGGGCTCCCTGCTCAGCGGGAAGCCTGCTTCTCCCTCTCCCACTCCCCGTGCTTGTGTTCCTGCTCTAGCTATCTCTCTCTCTGTCAAATAAATAAATAAAATCTTTAAAAAAAAAAAAAGAAATGTACAAGGAAGTCCCATGTGCACTTCCTCCAGCCTCCCCAGATGTTAACATCTGGCACAACAGTACAATATCATACTGAAAAATTGACATTGGTACAATCCATAGAACTTTTTCAGACTTCTGTATGTATAGTTCTATGCAGGTTTATCACATAGTCTTGTATCATACCACAGTAGTCAAAATAATAGTACTATCACCTTAAGGCTCCCTCCTGTTTGTTATTGCTATACCCATCCCATTCTCCCTTATTCCTAACCCTTGGTAACCACTAATCTCTTCTACATCTATTTAATTATGTTATTTCATGAATGTTATATAAGTGGAATCCTACGGTATGTCCTTTTGAAGTTGGCTCTTCTATCTCATGTATATAGTACCTGAATGTAAGAATATATATATTATATGAATTACAACTATATATATACACATAAACATATATATATGTTCCTTATATTCATGTAAAAGTGTGTACATGAAAATAAATCTGGTGGGCGCCTGGGTGGCTCAGTCGGTGAAGCATCTGCCTTTGGCTCAGGTCATGATCCCGGGGTCCTAGGTTCAAGCCCCGTGTCGGGCTCCCTGCTCTGCAGGGAGCCTGCTTCTCCCTCTACCGCTGCCTGCCGCTCTGTCTGCTTGTGCTCTCTCTCTCTGTGTCAAATAAATAAATAATAATAATAAAAAAGAAAAGAAGTCTGGGATAAAGCCCAAACATGTAATGAAAGGAACTGCCAAACTATTTTTGGTTTTACTATTTTATATTCCTACCAGCAATACGGGAGTGATCCAGTTTCACTGAATCCTAGCCAGCATTTGTTGTTATATCTGTTTTTCATGTTAGCCATTTTGATATGTGGGTAGTGATATCTCAATGTGGTTTTAATCTGAATTTCCTTAATAGAAAATTTTGTTGAATATCTTCTCATGTGTTTATTTGCTATCTGTGTATCCTCTTCAGTGACATGTGTGTTCATGTCTTTGCCCATTTTCTAATTTGATTATTTGGTGTTTTAATGTTGCATTTTCAAAGTTCTATATGTATTCTAGATAGGCCTTTGTGGATTTGTGAGTTAAACAAATATTTTCTTCAAGTCTGTAATTTTTCTTTTCAACCTTTTACCAAGGTTTTTTGCAGAGCAAAAGTTTCTAATTTACATAGAATCTAATTTGTCCATTTTTAATCTTATGAATTGTGAGGGTTTTTTTTTTTTTTATTTATTTGATGTCAAGCCTAAACACTTCACTTAGTCGTACATCTTAAAGATTTTCTCCTGTGTTTTTCTATAAGTTTTATAGTTTTACATTTTTCATTTAAGTGTATGGACCATCTTGAGTTCATTTTTACAGATGTGAAACTTTAGGTTAATTTTTTTTTCCCCCATGGATGTCCAGTTGCTCCATCACCATTTATTTAAAAAGTTATCCATTGAATTGCATTTTCATCCTTGTCAGAAATCAGTTGGACACATTTGTGTGGCTCCATTTTTGAGTTCTCTGTTTTGTACTATTGATCTTTGTGACCCTCTGCCAGTACCATACTTTAATTACTGTAAACCTTAATACTGGAAAGAGTAATTCTTCCCACTTTGTTATTTTTCAGAATTCTTTGACTATCCTTAGTGCTCTTTTCTATGCATATAAATTTTATTTATTTTTATTTTTTAAAGATTTTATTTATCTGAGAGACAGAGAGAGTGAGCACAAGTGGGGGGAGGGGCAGAGGGAGGGGGAGAAGCAGACTCCCTGCTGAGCAGGGAGCCTGAAGAGGGGGCTCGATTCCAGGACCCTGAGATCATGACCTGAGCCGAAGACAGATGCTTAACCAACTGAGCCACCCAGGCACCCCATGCATGTAAATTTTAAAATAAGGTTGTCTGTGTCTACAAAAAAAACTTGCTGATACTTTCATAGGAATTATGTTAAACCTGTAGATGAAGTTAGAGAATTAACATCTTTACTCTGTTGAGTCTTCCAATCCATGAACACAGTATGTTTCTTCAAGTATTTTTTCTTTGATTTCTTTTATTAGCATTTTATAATTTTTATCATATAGATCCTGTACATGTTTTGTTAATTTTTTACCTAAGTATTTTTTTTTCAGGAGCATTTATAAATTGCCTTTTTATTTTGGTTGTTGCTTATTGTCAATGTATAGAAATTAAATTGATTTTGTATGTTGATCTTGTATTCTGTGACCTTATTCAACTCAATTATTTCCTTGTAGATTCATTATTGTAGACAGTCATATCATTTGCAAATAGTTTTATTTCCTTTTTTTTCCAAACTGTGCCCTTTATTTTCTTGCCTTATTGGAATAGCTAGAACTTCCAGGGCTGTATTAAATAAGGGTGGTAATGGGGCTCCTGGGTGGCTCAGTCGTTAAACATCTGCCTTTGGCTCAGGTCATGATCCCAGGGTCATGAGCTTGAGCCCCGCATTGGGCTCCCTGCTCATCGGGAAGCCTGCTTCTCCCTCTCCCACTTCCCCTGCTTGTATTCCCTCTCTCGCTGTCTCTCTCTCTCTCTCTGGCAAATAAATAAATAAAATCTAAAAAAAAAAATTAAATAAATAAGGGTGGTAAGAGTAGACATCCTTTTTAACAATTTTAGAGGGAAAACATTCAGGATTTGGTCTTTTACCATAAAGTATATTAGCTCTAGGTTTTTGTAGATGCTCTTTATGAGTTTGAAGAAGTTCCCTTCTCTTCCTGATGCCCTGAGAGTTTTTTTTTTTTTTTAAATTGGTTAATGAACATAGAATGTATTATTTGTTTCAGGGGTACAGGTCTGTGATTCATTAATCTTACAAAATACCCAGTGCTCGTTTATATAGTGAGGAGACAGTGAGAGTCTATTTTTACAGTGATTGGTTATAATAACAGAATTGTTTAAACGATACCAGAAATTGCTCACTGGGTACCTCACACCAAACTTGGGAAACAGTTCAAGTTTTGCTTACGATTTCCAAAGGCACAAAAAAACTGATGTGGGTCAAGTTAGTCTTGCAAAATAAATTAAATTCAGCTTCAAAAAAAAAATACCCAGTGCTCATTAAAACACATACCATC